GCCGATCTGGTTTCGTGGTTAAAGTTAAACTTTTCGACATGTTTCTGTGTTGTTGTTGCTCAGCGATGGCATGGACGCGATTTTGTCTGGGGGTTTGGCAAAAGGAGAGTGGGACGGTGGGCGGTGCTCGGGGTGGTGACTGAAGGCGTTGACTGTAGTTCTGACGTCAACTTTTTACGGAAGTCACAACGGTTCGTGAAAAATCACAGCTACTTTATGCAGGCTGTGTGCATTTTACTGTGGTCTGACTGTTTTGAAACTTATATGGTATAGTTACATAGCACCTAAACCTCAGTTATCGTGAAAAAAGCCAGGAAATTTCAGTTTTGACAATATGGGACCTTTAAACCCAAACCATTGTCAAACCAGTCAACAAGTTTCAACAAGAACCTACCTAGGAATATAAAAAAAAATTATCATTGCTATGAAGCAGTATTTGAGCTTGCATAATCATGCTTCCTCCAGTGAAACATCCCCTGTTGGCCTGTCACATCAAAATCCTCCCACATTTGTTTAGAACCTTTCTGGGCAGATTTCTCTCCTGATTCAGACAAGATGACTTTTTCACTGGGGAAAGCAGTATTATGGATAATGGATTTGTTTTTTAGCAACAGTTTGAAGTTAAAATGCAGTGTGGAGTACTTGTGGATTATTGTGATGTTTTTATCAGCTGTTTGGACTCTCATTCTGACGGCACCCATTCACTGCAGAGCATCCACTGGTGAGCAAGTGATGAAATGCTACATTAAAAGACACATCTGGAGAAGCATTTCCAAAATCCTTTGAAAATACAGAATCGGATCATTAATCAACAACAAATCTCATTGTGAATCAGATTGAATTGAATCATTCTGAATTCGCAAAAATCGTTCCTGAATCGAATTGAAAACCTGTGAATCGAATCGACCCAAAGATTCACACCTACCACTGCTTGTCTGAAAGCGATTCTTTCCCTCACTCCTCCGTGTGTGTGTGTGTGTGTGTGTGTGTGTGTGTTTAGGGCCGAACTACGCCATGTCTAATGGAGGGGGCGGAGCTGGGGCCAGTATTTCCACCCACCTGCTGGACCTGCTGGAGGAGCCCATTCCAGGTGTGGGAACCTACGACGACTTCCACACCATCGACTGGGTCAGAGAGAAGTGCAAAGACCGAGAGCGACACCGCAAGGTAACACACCATCTGATATCGGAGTGTATGTGGGTATGATAGAAAAATTCAGTAGGTTTTATGTCATGCTAACAGTAAATATCACAATATAGTTAGTTATTTTTTGAATAATCTAATGAATTTAATGCTTCACAAAGGAAAGAAACTCAATCTCATTTTATTTATTTGTCTGTTTTTTTTTAATGCAATCATTTTTTTTATGCCATCTCGTTTGGTTTATTTATAATTTTTTTGTTTTGAAAACTTGAGCTATATCTCTCTCTGTTTGTTTGTTTATTAATTAATTCATGCATGCATTTATGCATTTATGGAACCTTGAACTCAATCTTATAATTTTTTCTTGAACTTTAGCTGTTTTGTATTTATTCATTATTATTATTATCATTATTATTGTTGTTGTTATTTCTTTTTCATCATTTATTAAATTAAATAATGAATTTGTTTTTTGTTTTTTTTACTCTGTTTTTGTTTATTTCCTCTTATATTTGCTTTTTCCAATTTAAATCCATCTCTATTTAACTTATTTATTTTTGGAAACTTTAACTCAGTCTATATTTTATGTATTTTAATTTTATTATTTCATTATGCATTTATTTATTAGCGGAAACTTAATGGATCCAAAAGATAGGATTAAGCATAACACGCACGCACGCACGCACTCTCACCCACTCTCACCCACTCTCACCCACCCACCCGCGCGTTCACTCACTCACGCACGCACGCACTCTCACCCACACACGCGTGCGTGCACTCACTCACTCACTCACACACACACACGCATGCGCGCACACTCACTCGCGCACGCACGCACGCTCACACGCACTCACACGCGCACAGACACTCACACACACACACACACACACACACACACACACGTGCACACACACTGTTTCTCTCTAGCTGCTGTTCTTTCAAACGCACTATCACAAACAGATCTGCCACTATAGTTTCACACACACACACACACACTCTGTTTCTCTGTGCTCTTTCAAACTCACTTTCACAAACAGAGCCGGCCACTATAGTTTCTCACACACACACACACACACACACACACACACTCTGCACGAATGGAAATGCAAGCAACACAGTTAACGCATATCATAAACAACGACAAATACTAATTTTAATAAATAAGACAAATTGAGTAAAGCTAATCTGCAGTAGAGAGTCCAGAAGAGCAGTTATGTTGATTTGGTTTAAATATTAATCTCTAAATGACTCATAACCAGAAACCGCTCTGTTAACCGACTGCAGCTGTAAAACTAGTTCTAGTTGATGGAAACTATTTTTGCCATTGAGCTTAACATTGATTCAGTCCTCTTTTTATACCCATGGGTTCGGGGAAGTTATAAGTGTGCCGATCAGTTTAATGTTTCCTTGCTGAATAATAGTTTTAATTATATTTATATAAAAAGTCGGTAACACTTTAGTTTAGGGACCAATTCTCACTATTAACTAGTTGCTTATTACCATCCCTATTATTAACACATTGGCTGTTTATTAGTACTTAAAAAGCATCTATTCTGCATGACCATATTCTGCATCCCTAATCCTACCCAATACCTAAACTTAACAACTACCTTATTAACTATTAATAAGCAGCAAATCAGGAGTTTGAGGCAAAAGTCATAGTTAATGGTTTGTTAATAGCGAAAATTAAACATTAAAATAAACTGTGGCCAAAAAGTCTTACTGACCCTAAACATTTGAATGGTAGATTATATATGTTTTACATTTATTTATATTTCATTACTGAATCGAGCATACGGTATTACTAAAAACACAGGGAATTTTTGTATTGCTATACGAAGGTTTTATTATAAAAGATTTGCAAATGCTGAATTAAATGCAATTCCTTCTGTAAACTGTATTTTAGTTTTAGCAAACATTATCTTATGAAATGCACCTGCACACAGGAAATAAAATGTTCCTCCACAAACCTCAATATCGTGGTCACTTAATAACCAAATACACACTTACACACACACTCTAACACACACACACACACTTACACACACACACACACAAGAGTGTGTTCCCAAAAATACACCAACACATAGACTTTCCAACACGGGGAAACAACACTCTGGACTATGTTTGCACCACCCAGAGAGGAGCTTACAAGGCCCTCCCCCTCCCCCACCTCGGTGCCTCAGACCACATCACCTGGATGACAGGGGAGGTCTACAGACTCCTGAAGACGCGGAACACTGCCTTCAGAGCTGGAGATGAGGTGGGCCTGAAGACAGCTGGGGCCAACCTATCCCGCGGCATCAGAGAGGCTAAAAGACAGCACTCCAGGAGGATAGCACATAATTTCAGCGACAGCAGAGACACTTGGAGCCTGTGGCAGGGGATACAGACCATTACGGACTACAAGCCCCCACCGATGACCTGTGACAGCACCATCTCCCTGCTGAACGAGCTGAATGCCGCCTTCGCTCGCTTTGAGGCACAAAACAGCACCACTGCACAGAAGACTCCTCCCGGTGACCAGGTGATGACGCTGTCCCCGGACAGCGTGAGGAGATCCCTCAGCAGGATCAATGCACGCAAAGCTCCGGGTCCTGGCAGCATTCCTGGGCGTGTACTGAGAGACTGTGCAGTGGAACTCACCGATGTCTTCACAGACATTTTCAACATCTCGCTAAGTCAGGCTGTTGTCCCCACATGCTTCAAAGCTACCACCTGTAGGACAGCTTCATCCATCAGGCTGTCAGGAAGCTGAACTCCCTCCTGACTTTGCCCCCCCATCTCCCTTTTGCCCCATGCACCACTGAACTCTGAACCCCAGACCCCCCTCTCACTAACACACTGGGACCTGCACCAGTCACTTTGTGCAGCATTGGTCTGCTCACTAACTCATTCACTACCTCTTCTGACAGTTTAAATCTCTGAGCTTTGTCACTTTAATCAGTCTGAATAAGCTCTTTTGCACTACAAATAATTATATCTGCACTGTTGTTTACTTCACTGGTTTGCACTCTATCTGCCATGTGCCTTGTGCTGCTTTATATATTTTTTTACATTTTACCTTATTTGTATAGTTGTATTTTATATTTAATCTGTATCTATCTGTATTTATGTTCTACTGTTAGTGTTATCTGTATGCACCAAGGGTCTGAGAGTAACGCAATTTCAATTCTCTGTGTGTATGTGCTGTACCTGTGGAAGAATTGACAATAAAGCAGACTTGACTTGACTTGACACACTCACACACTTACACACACTTACACACACTCACACACCTTTTAGCTGTAAGTCACGGTTTAATCTTCTGAAAACGTTATGCTGAACTCAGCTTATTTCTTAATTCACCCTGAGCTTCAGCATTTGCGCTTTTGTTTATTTGTCAGACATTTATTCAAAGCTGCATGCAGTTAAACCTACTACAGGAACAATCGCTGGAAAGAAAAAAGTAAAAAATGCTGCAGTAAAATCTTGATTAACTGAGTTTCCCAAACATGGACGGTGAAAAACTGTAAATGGCTTACGTCACATTATAATTAATTTTACTATAAAATACTGTTTTGCAGTGATAAACAGAAGTCCCTGCATAATGCATCACACATGAATATAGTTTTTCTTCTAATTTTTGTTATCAGTGCATTAGAGGGGTTTTTGTGACGTTTTCTGTTATTTAGCTTTATTTTAATGTCATGTGTTACCCTGATGGTGTTTGTCTTCGGGTGTTGGACTCTGTGCACTATAGACGAGTTTAGGCCATGTTTTATCATTTGTCTTTCTATCATACCTCCTCATCAGTGCATTTTAAGGTAAAAAGCAGATTTTGATAATTTATACAGGGTTCCTGCAGGTCTTTAAAAATCACAGTTTGCCCTTCCACAAATTAAGGCTTAGAAATGTCTTCAGTCAGCGCAGAAAGTATTAAATTCATAAAGGCATGGCATTAAAAGCTGTATGCACTGCCAAAAAGTGAATATCTTCATCTGTGTTTTGAGTTATTTCCAAATGGTTGGGAGTAGGGCTGTCAAAATGGCTGAAAAACTAAATTCAAATTTTTTACTTAAATATGATCAAAGTTCTAATTATATTCTAATTTAAAATGCATAATTTCAGTTAGGGTGAAGAAAAGCTTTTGGCTTCTCTCCTGAGGCCACAAGAGGGTGCATCGGGCAAAATATTACTAATGCACATTTATTCAAAGCATAAGATAACATGACTATCTGTGAAAAAAGTGCATAATGTTTAAAATAATGTTTATAAACCAATTATAATTAATTAAGTTGCTTAAACAACTATAAATAAAACAGCATCATGTTTGTATGCAGAGTTTAATACAAAGGGCTGAAGAGTACATTTTTCATTTAAAAACATGAGTTGCAGTGTGATGGGAAAAAACCATAAAGTCTCGATATATGTTTTTTAAAAGTTGAACTTGCATTAATTTTACATGGTTTTCTAAACATGCAGCTCTTGTGTGCGAGATGCGAGTGCAACACTGATAGATATCCCTCTCGAAAATGTGATAAATATGTGTTCTGTGGGAACAGCTTGGTTTCAGTTTTGAAATAAATAAGATCATCTCCGCATTGATGTTCTCTTTTTCCGCTATATTTGTAATGAACACCGCAGCAGCGCCGCATCTAGTGGCTTCAACTGGATATCCTAACAAAAACATTATAATGCAACGACACTTACATCCTCATCGCATCTCGTGCACCGCTGATAAGGCTCCCTCCTTAACGCACACCTAAAATTAGAATGGATTTTTATTTTAAATTCGACGAACATTCGAAATTCAAATTTTTTTTGACAGCCCTAGTTGGGAAGTATTCAAACCTTAAGGTATTTTATTTTATCAATTTAGTTTTAGTTTTATTAGTTTAATTTAGATTATTTTGTTTTTATTATTTTATCTATTTTTTTTTGTAAAAGTATTGATTTTCAGACTTTGAAGTGATGCTAATACAACACATTGTGTTCCTTAATTTTCTTGGTCTCAAAAAAGTTAAAAATTAATACATTTACCTTCATTAAACCAGCAGAAGCCCCGTTTTGAAGCAGTATACTGATAGATTACCATTATATTGAATGAAATGATTAAATAAACAATACGTTAAATTGAATAGGCTATTTTTGCAGTGTTTTTCAAAGCCACAGTGTTGGCTTCTACTTCAGTACGTCATGAACTGCATAAACATCGATCTCTTTCCTGGTTCCCTCAGGAGCGTTAGCCGGAGTGATCGACATCGCGGCCGACTGGTTGAACGATCTGAAGGAGGGCGTGTGTCTCAGTGCCATGTGGTTTAATCACGAGCAGTGCTGCTGGGACTCCAACGAGACCACCTTTGCAGAGAGAGACAAGTGTCCTCAGTGGAAGACGTGGGCCGAACTCATTCTGGGTCAGGCCGAGGTCAGTGACTCACTCCAGTGATACACTGCTGTTCAAACCATCACCCCGATGGAGTTTTCTGTACGAGTTTTCTCATCAGGAACTCTTGCTTTTTTACAGCCGTTTTGTAAAAGTATTGATTTTCAGACTTTGAAGTGATGCTAATACAACACATTGTGTTCCTTAATTTTCTTGGTCTCAAAAAAGTTAAAAATTAATAAATGTACCTTCATTAAACCAGCAGAAGCCCCGTTTTGAAGCAGTATACTGATAGATTACCATTATATTGAATGAAATGATTAAATAAACAATACGTTAAATTGAATAGGCTATTTTTGCAGTGTTTTTCAAAGCCACAGTGTTGGCTTCTACTTCAGTACGTCATGAACTGCATAAACATCGATCTCTTTCCTGGTTCCCTCAGGAGCGTTAGCCGGAGTGATCGACATCGCGGCCGACTGGTTGAACGATCTGAAGGAGGGCGTGTGTCTCAGTGCCATGTGGTTTAATCACGAGCAGTGCTGCTGGGACTCCAACGAGACCACCTTCGCAGAGAGAGACAAGTGTCCTCAGTGGAAGACGTGGGCCGAACTCATTCTGGGTCAGGCCGAGGTCAGTGACTCACTCCAGTGATACACTGCTGTTCAAACCATCACCCCGATGGAGTTTTCTGTACGAGTTTTCTCATCAGGAACTCTTGCTTTTTTACAGCCAGGCCACGTTAAATTGATCAAAAGTGACAATCAAGATTTATATTTCAAATAAATGATGTTCTTTGAGCTGTTTTCGACATCAGACATGTTTCTCGAGCAGCAAATCAGCATATTAGAATGATTTCTGACGGATCATGTGACACTGAAGAGAGGAGGAATGATGCTGAAAATTCAGCTTTGCATCGCAGGAATAAATTACATTTGAACAGATATTCACATAGAAAACAGTCATTTGAATTTCTAATAATATTTCACAATTTTTGTATTTTTACTGCGTTTTTGATCAAATAAATGCAGCCTTGCTGAGCAGAAGAGACTTCTCTCAAAAACATTTAATTAAACCGTACTGATCCCAGACTTTAGCGCAGTGTGGTTTACACAGATGTTCTGGTTTTATTAATGGCTCTGGTGTTTTGTGTTCTAGGGTCCAGGCTCATATATAATGAACTACTTCATGTTCACGTTTTGGGCGCTGTCCTTCGCCTTCCTGGCCGTGTCTCTGGTGAAGGTGTTTGCGCCGTACGCCTGCGGCTCTGGAATACCTGAGGTAATCCTCAACATCACTTATACTGAAAAGACATTGTCTCAAACAAGTTTAACCTCATATTTTACAATGAACGTGATTTTTGGGCAACCAGTTTTGCTAGTCGTCGTTATTGACGCATTGATCGTTTTTTCTCTTATTATAAAAAACTTAGACAAATACTAAATTAAATGAATAGCTATGTTTAAAAGTTCTTGAGTTTTAGTACAAGGTCTTTACTTGAACTGGACAAATAAAAATGTCACAAATCCTTTATTTGCTTATAAGAGCACTAGCTCTGATTTTAACACTGTTTCTATGGTTCCCAAAAGTGTTATGTAAGTTTCACAAAAGCTTAGTTTAGTCCAGAGAGGTTTTGTTTTGTCAAACAAAGAGAAGCCACTTTCAATGAATAGGGGACAACTGTCATGAAATCAGGTGTGCAACCTTCAGAAAATATTACTTGTCAACTTCAGGAGGTTAAACAACAATGCATTTATATTTATTCAATGATTTCGAACCATATAAAATAATTATATTTATATAATTTATTATTATATCTATAAAACTAATATATACAGGATGTGTGTGTGTGTGTGTGTGTGTATATATATATATAATGAAAAAATAAACACTGCAGCAGAGTGGGAAATGTGCAAATTTAGCCTAAATTAAGCTCAATCTGTGGTTTGGGACCAAAGTGTTGACTTGTATTTGATGATAAACGTATATTTCCTGCGAATTAAAGAAAAATCTTTATGATAATTTTTCTTAACTTCAGTAAAGGTTGAGCTTGACAGAGAATAGTCAACACTACTATATTTGTAAAAATTAAGAAAATTAAAGGCAGGGAAAATGATCAGGGTTATTAACTCAAGCTAAAACCATAATAAAAAAAAAAACTTGAAATAAAATAAACTGAAATTAATTAAATAAAAAATATTTAATTAATAAATAATATTTAGACATATTAAAAAAATAAAAAATAGTAGTAATAAAAATTACTAAAACTATATAATTCAAATGAAAATAAAATATAAAATTAAAAAAATTATTATATAATAAAAACTATAATAGTATCTCAGTGATACAAAAATAGCACTGGCTATTATTTGTCTCTCCATTACGCTGTAGAAAGAGTCAAAATTATGTCATTTCTGATTTTTAGGTGTTTTTTTTAATGGATTTGTGGAAATGCATGCATGATTTTAATTGTTGAAAAATTGTCAGGAAGGTCAGACCGCTGCGGCCAAAATCATGAGGATGATTTGATGTCTTTACCTCTAACTACTTTTTATGTTAAGTTCATGTTCGCTTATATTTCTTTTACATTAGTTCATCAAACATATCTAACAGTTTTCACAACAGCTGCAACAAAAGCATTGGCTTTGTGCCTCGAATGCTGTAAAAATCAGGAGAGACTAACACTTTAAGTGGAGAGGGGCAGATGATGTTAGATGGTGATTCAGTGTGGTGATCTGTCATTGATCAAGTCTTCTGTCCTGCAGATCAAAACCATCCTGAGCGGCTTCATCATCCGCGGCTATCTGGGCAAGTGGACGCTGATGATAAAGACCATCACTCTGGTTCTGGCCGTGGCTTCGGGCCTCAGTCTCGGGAAGGAAGGTCCGCTGGTCCACGTGGCCTGTTGCTGCGGCAACATCTTTTCCTACCTCTTCCCCAAATACAGCAAAAACGAGGCCAAGAAACGAGAGGTTAGAACGTAGCTTCGTTCTCTTACATAGAAATCTGGACGTTGCCTACGATTGCAAGATGTAGGTATGTAAGGATGAGTGTTTCTCTGTTTGTCTCTCTGCGGGCAGGTTTTGTCGGCGGCGTCGGCTGCTGGTGTGTCTGTGGCGTTTGGGGCTCCTATCGGAGGAGTTCTGTTCAGTCTGGAGGAGGTCAGTCTGCAGTCATGTGTTAAAAAATACAGTAAAATAGTGAAATAATATTGCAATTTTGAAAAACTGTTTTCTATGTGAATATATTTTAAGATGTAATTTATTCCTGTGATCAAAGCTGAGTTTTCAGCATCATTCCTCCAGACTTCAGTGTCACATGATCCTTCAGGAGTCATAATGATATGCTGATTTGCTGCTCAAGAAACATTTCTGATTATTATCAATGCTGAAAACAGTGCTGCCCAATATTTTTGTGGAAACCATGATAAAAAAATTTGATGAATAGAAAGTTCAAAAGAACAGCATTTATTTGAAATAGAAATCTTTTATAACATTATAAACATCTTTACTGTCACTTTTGATCAACTTAAAGCATCCCTGCTGAAGAAAAGTACCGGTTTTCTTTCTAAATTAATTTTAAAAAATCACACTGAACCCAAACTGGAATGGAAGTGTATGATATTGTCTGCCATATCAGCCATAATAGACTATCAATACCATAATATTTAAATAAATAAATGAAATAGTTTAGTGGCTGTAAAATTTATTTTAAATAAATAGTAAAATTTAATTAAATTAATGTATTTGTTTTTATCAGATTACAGATTTTTTTTTATTTGAATTGTATAGCCATTAAAATGTCTTTAAATCAAATTAAAATAAATAAAATAATTTAGTGGCTGTAAAATTTATTTTACAATTAGTTTTTATCAGATCACAGATTTATTTATTTTTTATTTAAATTTTATGGCCATTAAAATGGTCTTTAATTCAAATTCAAATAAATAAAATAATTTAGTGGCTGTAAAATGTATTTTAAAATTTGTTTTTATCAGATCACAGATTTATTTATCTTTATTAAAATTTTGTAGCCATTAAAATGTCTTTAATTGTAGTCTTTATTTAATTAACTATTAACTTTATTTAATTATTGTCTTTAACTTTTTACACTTTTTTTTTAATTGTATGCCTGTATAAAATGGTACTGAACCCGAACTGGGTTGATAGTGTGTGATATAGTTCACCGTATCAGCCGTAATAGACTCTCTCTATTGCTCTACTATCAATATCTCTGCTAAAGAACAGGAGTGGTGGGCGATATAACCAAATATTTATGTAATTATATACGTCTCAGTTTTTATGGAAATGTGGTTTAAAAAGCAACAGTCCTCGTGACATTTTCCTAAGTAGCACTGGACCATCACCTGTGTGTTTATATTTAAACAGTCCTGAACGTTGCAATGAAAGAGCTCCATAAATAATTAAATATGAAAACACTCTCATCTGCATCTTTTCAGCAGTGTTTCTTCGACTGGTTCCAGAGATTGGTCTCGCGTGTGTTTAATGCTGTAATGAACACTGTGTCTCTCTCAGGTGAGTTATTACTTCCCTCTGAAGACTCTGTGGCGCTCGTTCTTCGCGGCTCTGGTGGCGGCGTTCGTGCTGCGCTCCATCAACCCGTTCGGAAACAGTCGTCTGGTGCTGTTTTACGTGGAGTACCACACGCCCTGGTACCTGTTCGAGCTCTTCCCCTTCATCCTGCTGGGGGTGTTCGGAGGCCTGTGGGGGGCCTTCTTCATCCGGGCCAACATCGCCTGGTGCCGCCGCCGCAAGTCCACACGCTTCGGTACGCATTAGTGTCAGCGCTTCACTTTCATTCATTTACTGTGAGAGCTTTTGTGGCAACACTTTACAATAAGGTTCACTATTTAACTACTTTAGTTGACGTCAACTAAGCATGAACAATAATTTACAGCATTTATTAATCTTAATGTTAATTTCAACATTTATTAATGCATTATTAAAATCAAAAGCTGTGCTTGTTAACATTAGTTAATGCACTGTGAATTAACATGAACTAACAGTGGACGACTGTATTAGTAAGATTAATAAATACTGTAATAAATGTACTGTTCATTGTTTGTTCATACATGAAGTAACATTAACTAATGGAACCTTATTGTAAAGTGTTACCGTTTTTGTTAATATATTGAATTGCATTTTAATTTTAGTTAAACTTTTTAGTAATTTTGCTGTTTTTGTCATTTTAGATTTTATTGTATCTTTAGTTAAAATTGTAAAATGTTGTTTTTTGTCAGTTTTATTTATTTTTGAAATATACTTTGAATTGAAGTTTATTTATAGTCATTTAGATGTTTTTTTATTGTTAGACATTTTGTTGTCTTGTTTTTTTTTGTCATTTTTATTAGTTTTTGTTTTTTTTTATATAAATTTAAAGTTTTAGACCATTTTTTTATTTTTATGAGCTATAAAATTATTTTTAATTTGCTTTGAGTTTTATTATTTTCTGTTGTAAGTTTTATTAATTTCTGTTGTAAGTTTTATTAATTCTGTTGTTTTTGTTTTAATTTTAATAGTTTTTGTTTGTAGTATAATTTATTCGTTTTAGTAATTTTGTTATTATTTTTGTTTTTTAAATATTGTTTATTCGTGTAAGTTTTTGTAGTTCTGTTGGGTTTTTTGGACATTTATTTTTTATTTTTTTTATATACTTTGTGCAAAGTTTTAATAATTCTGTTTTGTTTTTGTAATTATTAGGTTTTGTATCATTTTAGTTAGTTTTATTAATTTTGTGGTATCTCAATTTTTTTTAAATATTATTTTAAAGTTTAAGTAATTGAGGTATTTTTTGGCGTTTTCATTCGTTTATTTAAAAATCTATAATTTTTATTAAGTTTTAGTTTATTTAATTTTAGTCTCAATTTTATTATTTTAAACTATTTAATTTATTTCAGATAATGTTTATTTAAAGTAATACAGTTTCTTCAAGGTTTTACCCTGATTAGTGTTCCTTCATGTTTTGAACTGAAATCTGATGTTTTTAGGTAAGTACCCGGTGTTGGAGGTGATCACGGTCGCTGCCATCACGGCCATCGTGGCATTCCCGAACCCGTACACGCGGCAGAACACCAGCGAGCTGATCAAAGAGCTGTTCACGGACTGCGGGCCGCTGGAGTCATCTCAGCTCTGCCAGTACCGCAGCCAGATGAACGGCAGTCAGGCGTATCCCGCGGGATCGGACGCCGCCGCCGCCCCCGGCGTCTACTCGGCCATGTGGCAGCTCAGCCTGGCGCTCGTCTTCAAAATCATCATGACCATCTTCACCTTTGGACTCAAGGTCAGAGAACAGTGCTCTGTTGTCATATCACACTGCTTTTCCAAACAGTACCAGTGAACTTTATTTGTACCCATAAGTTCTGAAGCATGCTTTTTGTTCATGTTTGCTGACAGACACCAGTGTTTCTCAAAGACTGCAAATTCATTCTCTGCCAGCAGGAGGCTCTGTTGGAGCGGGAGATATAGCGGTTTCCCATTAACGGCTGTAATCTAATAAGCACTGTGCTCACAAACGCTACTTTATCAGGCATTACAGGAAAGACAATTAAAATATCATCGAAGCTTTTCTGAAGACAGTCGGTTCTTTTCTGAAAGATACATTCATATAAAAACACCCATGCTGCATTTTAATTTTGAAACGTGCAGTGCTCAGTTTATTCAACAAAGTATAAGCCTTTTGGGAAATCTATTTGTTGCGGTGATGTGCTGCCACAAATAACTCAATGTATGGGAAACACTGGACACTGCCATAAGTCAAATGGCCAAGTGATGACAAAAATAAAAGAGTTCACACATATTACACAGCCTGCTGCTCATAACTGCTTAGAGTGCACTGGCCACGAGCGATGAGATTGTGGATGCTATTGTCGGACCTACGCACACATTTCATGAGGAAAGTTATCGTGCACGTTATAATCAGCCCAGAAGTTTTGACTGAATTGCATGTGTTTCTACTTTCACATGCAAATGACTTGTTGCACTTATGAATATGATAACTTTCCGGCATCAGTTCTAGCAGGGTAAAACGTGATTACGCTTTCGAAACGGTCTGTTTTGCCCTGCCATCATTAGCTGAAGCTGCGTGTGAACCAGAAGAGGCTGCAGAGTGTGAGTTGCTCCTCTCATGCAGCCAGAGAGAGATTCTCCGGTGTTCCGCAACAACACTTAGCTGCCCGCAGATGCGCCTGCCTATAAATCGGCCTAATTTGCAGCACAATTTAAAAAATGCCAAAAATCGGTCGACCTCTAACCAACATATATGATAAAAGTGCTTTAAGGTTCCCAGCATCACTAAAAACCGCCTAGACTAAAAACAATAAATTACAAAAAAAAAAAAAATGTGTTTTTAAATAAATAGTAATGTTCCTAAGACCTGTCCTTCAGCTGAGTGATAGCTGCTGGCACAAAGCAGTTTTTATACCGCTTAGTTCTACGATACGGAAATACAAATCTACGTCTAGATGGCAGAAGTTTAAATTCATTGTTCAAAGGATGAGAGTCCTCATTTAGAACTGAGTTAACTGTCTGGTCTACAGAGATGCTGGACTAAGCTGTGACTCCCCAATCAGCTCACTATAGACCATCTAACAATTAAGCAGTACCAGTGACATTAGAAAACTCTTGATATTGTTATCAATACCACTGCATTTCAAACCGAAACTCATTTTATTGGAAGTAATATGCAAAACAAATGCACATTTAGGGTTTTAACAGAAACTTTAGCTTTTTTTTCTGTGCAGTGGCCATTTATATTAGATTTTTTTTTTTTACATTTGATGGCCCTAAATAAAATAAAGACTTTTTTTAATGTGTAGCCATGAAATTAAAATAAAATCTGTAATCTCTCTGCTTTATTTACTTTATTTGTGTTTTTAACAGATTACAGCGTTATCTATAGTATTGATTTATTTTATTTTAAATTAAGGCCATAAAATAAAAAAAGTATCTCTTTGTGTGTGTTTAACAGATTACAGATTTATTTTGTTTAAATTTTATTTATTTTTAGATTACACATTTATTTTGTGTGTTTAAATTTTATGGTCATAAAATTAAATTTATTTATATATTTTTTTTTCAGCAGATTGCAGATTTATTTATATTTATTTGTTTGATTTTAAATTATGGCCATACAATTTAAAAAAAGGATTTATTTATTTGTATTTTTGACAGATTTATTTATTTAGCCATATATGGCCATAAAATCGAAAAAGTCTCTCATTTTAAATCAAAAAACAGATTTATTTTATTTTTAATTTTATTGCCATAAGTTGTTTTAAAAAGTGTCTCTTTTATTTGTGGTTTTAACTGATATTATCATAAAAGCTGAACATTGTGTATCCACTTCAAAAAAATACCATTAATATTCTATTGCTAGCAAAGGTTTTACAAATAAAATAACATTTCTGAAGGCTTTTTGCCCAGTTTGTCCAAAATCTGCAAACCTGATTTGGGTGGCTGTTATTAACACTACAAATACTAACACTACAATGCTAGGTGGCGTTATATTTCCAGATATGTACTGAAGACTGTGTGTTTGCTGTGGTCAGGTGCCGTCGGGTCTGTTCATCCCCAGTATGGCCATCGGGGCGATCGCGGGGCGTATCGTGGGCATCGCTGTGGAGCAGCTGGCGTATTATCATCACGACTGGTTCCTGTTCAGAGAGTGGTGTGAGGTGGGCGCCGACTGCATCACGCCGGGACTCTACGCCATGGTGGGCGCCGCTGCCTGTCTGGGTGCGTATGCATGCTTTGAGCTTCCTCTGCATCCTCTTCTCCTTCACAGATCCTCTAATATCGTGTGCTGTGGTGTTTGTGTAGGTGGCGTGACGCGGATGACCGTGTCTCTGGTGGTCATCGTGTTCGAGCTGACCGGCGGGCTGGAGTACATCGTTCCTCTCATGGCGGCGGTGATGACCAGCAAATGGGTCGGTGACGCTTTCGGGAGGGAGGGGATCTACGAAGCCCACATCCGTCTGAATGGATCCCCCTCCCTGGACGCCAAGGAAGAGTTCCCGCACCCCACGCTGGCGCGGGAAGTGATGCGTCCGCGGGGTAACGACCCGCCGCTGGCCGTGCTGACGCAGGACGACATGACGCTCGCCGAGCTGCAGAGCATCATCTCCCAAACCAGCTGCAACGGCTTCCCCGTCATCGTCTCCAAAGAGTCGCAGAGACTGGTGGGCTTCGCGCTGCGCAGGGATATAACCATCGCTATAGGTGACTAAACCTCACATCTCGGGCTGCTTGATTGCAAGTAGTCTCACATTGTTGTTGTTTTTTTCGTATTACATTGAAAACTGTTGAAGTAAATGAAGCCTGTTTTAGTACCGTTTTTAAATTATTTTCTGACTACAATTTAGATTACCGCAATACACAAATATCTCGTTTTCATTCCCATGATGTATAAAAGTGTTGTCCTTTTAACTTTTAACATTTTCTAAATGAATATAAAGTCTCTTCTGCTCATCGAGGCTGCATTTATTTTATAAAAAATACAGTAAAATCTGTAATGTGAAATATTATTACAATTTAAAATAACTGTTCTCTATTGTAATATATTTTAAGATGTAATTTATTCTTGTGATCAAAGCTGAATTTTCAGCATCATTCCTCCAGTCTTCAGTGTCACATGATCTTCAGAAATCATTCTAATATGCTGATTTGATGCTTGAGAAACAATATCAATGTTAAAATGACAGGATTTTTGATGAATAGAAAGTTGAAAAGAACAGCATTTCTTTGAAACAGAAATTCTTTGTAACATTATAAAATTCTTTACTGCCACGTTTGATCAATTTAATGTATCCCTGCTGAATAAAAGTGTTATTCCAAAGTTAAATTAAATTGAATTAGTTTTTTTTGTTTTTTTTTACTATTGTCCACCATATCAGTCATATCAGCCATAATAGACTACCAATACCATAAAATGTGTTAAAAACGCAAAATTAAAGACGTTTTTTTAATTTTATTTAGTGGCCATAAAATGTAAATTAAATCAATTTTATATGTTTTTTACTTGTTTTTTTGTTTACAGTTTACAGATTCATTTTATTTAAATTTTAGGGGGAAATAAATAAATAAAAAATAGTAATAATTATTAAAGATTTACTGACCCCAAACTTTTGAATGGAAGTCTATATGTAAAGGTGAAATTTTAAATATTTCCCATCTTAATATGCATTTTAAATGAGAACTGACATGAAAATAATTTCAAATAATCTGTGCTTTGTTTGTGCAAAACATATTTTCTTTTTTTTTTTTTTCTATTTTTGGTGTAAAATGTCACACGGATATGTTTTAAGTTATTAGCTTACTGTAGAAATACAAATCAGAGTTTCTTTGTCCACAAAGATGACAGAAAGATGTTCTTTTGCTGCTTGTCTTTTCAGAAAACGCCCGGCGTAAGCAGGAGGGAATAATGCTGAACTCGCGGGTCTATTTTACCCAGCATGCCCCGACCCTCCCGGCCGACAGCCCGCGGCCGCTGAAGCTGCGCAGCATCCTGGACATGAGTCCCTTCACCGTCACCGACCACACGCCCATGGAGATCGTGGTGGACATCTTCCGCAAGCTCGGCCTGCGCCAGTGCCTCGTGACGCACAACGGGTGAGTGTCCGCCGGGACGCCTCGATTCCCTCTCCCTCTTCTGTGCTGTGTGTTTGAACTAACGAATGTACCGTCAGCAGACACACACAAACACACACACACACTCACTCACACACACACTCACTCACTCACACACGCTCACTCACTCACTCTCTCTCACACACACACTCACTCTCTCTCACACACACACATACTCTCTCACACACACTCATACACTCACACAGACACACACACTCACTCACTCACACACACACACACTCACAGACTCACACTGACACACACACACACGTCTGCTGATGGGCTTCAGTCGTGGCGTCATGCATCTGTGGATTCACATGCCTCTCAGCTGCTAGACTCCTGCTAAAAAACTCGATACACACACACACACTCACAAACAGCCTTCACAGAATCCAGTAGAGCTAGACCATATTGAACATTCACAGTATATTCGCAGTGATTTTACTGGTGTTACAAATTTTTGTTAATGCTTTTATTTGTACATTTAAGTTTACTAAAAGCGTGTCTTTAGATTAGATTCACAATCTCGCAATGTCTCATGACTTGCAAGTGTAAACAATTATAGTTAAGTTAATCATCGGTTAAAAAGTTTAACATTATTATTATTATTATTTATTTATTTAATTTAACGTTTATTTTTAAATTTCAATATTTATTTAATTATAAAAAAATATATTTTATTTTTTAATTTTATTATTATTATTTTATTTTATTTTTTTCAAGTTTTTGAAAAGTCTCATGTTCACCAAGACTGGAGTAATTGATGGTTGCTCAAAATTCAGCTTTGCATCCCAGAAATAAATTACATTTTAAAATGTATTTAAATAGAAAACAGATATTTTAAATTGTAAAAAATTTCTCAGAATTACAGTTTTGTTGTATTTTTGATCAAATAAACTAGGGATGCACAGAGACCATTTTTTTCAGAACCGATACCGATCCGATACCAGTGCATTTTTTCTTTTTCTTTTTTTTTTTCAATCAGTGTAGAATCTCTGTACCTCTGTGTGTTGACCTAATCATCACTCTTTGTGTGTTAAACACAATCTACTAAATATAGACAACTTCATTATAAAGAAAAATAACAAATGAAAAAATATATCATAATCTATGACAAAAATACTATTATAAACTTACTCTAGTTACTCTAGAAAAATTTCACACATACGGTGGTGGCTGATATTTGTTACAGTTTGATTCTGTTCAGTTCATTTGTTTAATTGCAACTCAACACCTGATTATTTTGATGATCTCTGTAAATTTCTGTTCATATTGCTTCTGTTGTCTTGTTACTCTTATGTTGTTTTGATTTCTATTTGTTTGTACTTGAGTTGTCGGTGTAATTTTTGTTGCTAAGTGATGGTCGTCACGGTGTGTGTTGCAGGATTTTATTGGGCATCATCACAAAGAAGAATATTTTAGAACATCTGGAAGAGCTCAAGCAGCACGTGGAGCCCTTGGTGATTAGCCCCTCCCACTCTGCCTTCTGACTTAGACTCCGCCTCTTAGGAGTGACGCATGAAACTTGAGTGAAAAAAAAAGAGCGTTCTGGATGATGGTTGCCCTAAAATACCAAAGTCGCAATTTCAGCTAGTTAGAGATGCATAAAATGTACATGTTGTGTATGGATAAATTTATTGTCATTTCTACTCACTTCTATTCACTGATGTCTGCGAGAGTTTTTATACCACCTAACTCTGAAATTGATCTCATTTTGAAATTAAATGCAAAAACGTAATTGTGTGACAAAACTGAAATAGCAGTTATCTGGAAGTGGTGGAACTGTCCTGCATGTGGGGTCCAAACACTAAATAAGGTGCACCAATTTGTGACCAGTAACGTGTATTAAAGGAGTATTTCACCTAAGAATGAAAATTTGATGAAAATGTGCTCACCCTCAGGCCATCTAAGATGTTTGTTTCTTCATCAGATTTGGAGAAATGTAGCATTTCATCACTTGCTCAGCAATGGATGCTCTGCAGTGAATGGGTGCCGTCAGAAAGAGAGTCCAAACAGCTGATAAAAACATCACAATAATCCACAAGTAATCCACACCACTCCAGTCCATCATTTAATGACTTGTGAAGCCAAAAGCTGCATGTTTGCATTACTTGTGGATTATTGTGATGCTTTTATCAGCTGTTTGGACTCTCGTTCTGACGGCACCCATTCACTGCAGAGCATCCATTGCTGAGCAAGTGACGCAATGCTACATTTCTCCAAATCTGTTACAATGAAGATACAAACTCATGTACATCTTGGAAATTTTCAGCTAGTATATGGTACTAGGTGAAATTAAACCGCATCTTGGACCCTGCTTCCAGGACTTCATTCCCCTGCAGACATCATGTTTCTTGTAAGATTTGCTCTCACTCAGATTGTTGCTCCTGTCCTCGGCCATCCATGCAGGGTAGACTAGTCCATCACATTAGCCGTGGTGTCTTTGAAATGCACCTTCCCTTTCAGTTCTGCATTGTGCACGTGTACTCACAAAGCACATCTAATACACATGCCGTGATGTCCTTCATCTGAATTTGATTTCTTTGTTTGTTTTCCTTTGTTTATTGCTAAATTCCTCTCGGGGGCACCTGGTCTGCGTCGGCTGGGCTACAGATCGATGACATCTGACCCCTCGCGCAGCTCCGCCCTTAAACGATTGGCGAGTAACAGTCGTGTGTAGCGGATTATTTTCTCATTCACCAACATATCTATTCATCTCTGTAGTCATAGCAGCTCTTACTAGGATGCTGTGCTGTTACCATGACGATTTGGTGTGACTCTAGAATCCTAGCCTTTCCTGTAGTGTGTAGTCAGCAGTTCCTGTCCCCTAAACCAACAGCCCTCACCTGTCTCGAGTCCCACACCTTGTCCTCTTTCAGTTGTCTGATGTTCGACCTTTTCACTTTCTTCCTGTCGCGAACGTCTTGCAGGCATTTCACGAACATTTCACAAAGGTTTGACAATCATTTCACGAGCGTTACATGCCTCTGGTTTGGATGGACTCTCACAATCCCAGCTCTCGTCAAAATTGTCACACCTTTTTTCTGTGATACAAACTGTCATCAAGCTTAAATCCCTTTTTCAAAAGCAAAATCAAGAGCATATATAAAGTTAAAAGTTTGTCGAACACTAACATTCAAAAGTTGATCAAGAGAAATTAGTGTTTTGGTACAGATATCGTGTCTATTTAGAAAAAAGGAGTTGGGGTAAAGCGTTACATAATGTTCATGCAAAGTATTGCATTACTTTTTTGAATTCACTATATATTGCTAAGTTACTTTTATACACTTTTACACAAATAAGTAATATACAAAAGTAACAATGTGGTGTAATTAATAGCTTTTTTAAAAATGCTACACTTTCTTTTTTTCTTTTTACAAATGTCACTCTTACTGTTATCGAGTAACGTATTGCACATGACATTTTATATGTTGAACACCTATATTTTTAAAGTTAGTCTAGAGAAATTAGTGTTTGGGTACAGACGTTGTATCCGTTTAAAAATCCAGTAATGCCTGAAGTATTGTATTACTAATTTGAATTCACACTATAATGCACACGTTACTTTTATACACCTAACTAATTAAAGTACAAAAGTAGGGGGAAGTTACAACGCGGTGTAAACTAATTGCTTCTTTTTAAAAAGTTACACCTGCTGTAATGTCTGTACATTGCATATTAAAGTCTATCAAGAAAATTTAGTAATTTAGAAAAACACTTGCATGTACATCATTATAACTAATATGTTACATAATCGCATTGTTGTAGAAGTAACATGCCACTAGTTACGCTAAGGGGCCGTTTACACAACAACGTTTTCAGCCAAAAATGGGAAACTTTTTATGCGCGTTGACTGTTCGTTTACACGACAATTGCGTTTTGCGGTCTGAAAACACATATTTTTGAAAACGGGTTTCAAAGTGCACATTTTTGAAAACGGCACCGTTATCGTTTCCGTGTAAACACCCAAAACGGGATTCGTTGAAAACGAAGACGTCATGCTCGTGCGTAGTATGTGTTAGGTATGTAGACATGCGCAGTACGTGTCGATTTTAAAGGCAAGCGTGAACAAACATACACATCAATGGCGGAGTACATGTTACTGTTGTTGCTGCTCAAGAGTTTGCTAACGTTTCTTCAGCAAAGTGTGGATTTACTTCACCAATATTACAACCAACAGCGGAGATGCATCATATACAACATATAATCGTCACTTCCCTACAGATACTGTTTACTAACAAGGTGACAGCGCCAACTACTGGCCTGGCATACGTAATACAGCGTTTTTGGCCGTTTTCGCGGATATGTCTAAACACAAATCGTTTTGAAAACGTTGTGTATACGTGAAACTTTTTAAAAACGCAAGGGAAAAACTTTTCCGTTTTTGACTACATCGTTGTCGTGTAAATGTAGCCTACGTTTTGCATTACTGTTTTGAATTTACACTATAGTGCACAAGTTCCTTCTAAAGACGCACAAATAATTAAAATACAAAATTTGGGAAGGAGTTACAGCGTGGTGTAACTTCGTGTGCCCAATTGCTTTTTTAAAATAAAGTAATACTTTTTTTTAGCAGTAATGTAACACCTGCTGTAATGCAGTAATGTCTGTTACTGTTGTTTTGAACACCTATATTTTGAAAGTTTATCAAGAAAAGTTAGGGTTTAGTTACAGACACTTTATTCACTTAGAAAAATACTGTTACGGGTAAAACGTTACAAGTAACACATTACAAAATCACACTGTTTTAAAAGTAACATGCTGCTAGTTACATAAAGTATCACATTAGTTTTTGATTAACACTTTAATGGCCAAGTCACTTTCACATAAAGTAGGAGAAAATGAACACTGTGGTTTAATTCATTACTTTTTTAAATAAAGTAATGCTTTTGTAGGAGTAATGTAACAGCTACTGTAATGCAGGTACATTGCAAGACTCTTTGTCTTTGCTGCAAATGAGTAATCTGACTAGGCACTATTTTTGGGAGTGGAGTAATGTAATGCTTATTGTGCTTGAAATTGTGTCTATGCTGCAAATGAGTGATGCAACATGACAAAACTTTCAAAGAAGTAATGCAATAGTACTTTTTCAAGTAATGTTCCCCAACACTAAACAAATGAAATGCACAGATTCTATACATCCTTTAAATATGCTCTTGAATTTGTGTTGGCAAAACAACTTCACTTTCTCGTTCTCCAAGGCCAGAGTGTGTGGATGAGATGGAGGCGTTCACTCCCTCTGTTTCGCAAAACACTTGCTTCTCACTGTGTAGGTGCTGTCGGCTCATAGAAATAACATAGTGTTTCCTGCACTGAGTAACACGGCATAATCTTCCACACTCTCTGCCCTTCTTCAAACCAGAGACTGTCAGCTGTCTGTTGCCAAGGCTGAAGTATGGAGCCATCAAAATTGGAGCAAAGATTTGATTCCGAGTCGAAACGAGAATAGAGTTATACAAAATGCATTTCATTGGGACTTCCTTGCAAAACTTGGCAACAGAGGATGTCAGTGCTCTGCAAACGTGTCAAAAATGCACTAGTAAATTTATCTACCTCTTTCTGTCTCTCTTTTTATAGGCGCCTCCTTGGTATTATTACAAAAAAAGATATCCTCCGTCATATGGCCCAGATGGCAAACCAAGACCCCGAGTCCATAATGTTCAATTAGCGTCCTCCCCTTCCCGCTATGAGGAAGATGAGAGTGAAGAGGAGGTCTGTTTACTGGACAACTCATCCCTCTGACCACATGCCCCTACGGTACCCTGAACCGCCCAAGTACAAAACAAAAAACACTACGCCAGATGGGACCCCATCCTCTGGATACTTGCACAAGACTCCAAAGCGAGTCTTTCGAGGAAGAGCCTGGCTGCTTGAAAATCGTAAGAATTTTGGGAGAAGCTCGAGTCCTGGACGTCCCAAGTGGATGAACTTTCTACAAACGCTAACACACTAAACTAACTCTCACACGCGCATGCAAAAACACCCAAGACACCTCGCGGGTCCTGCTTATTTGGCCTCTTAGCCTGAGAAAATGCATCCTGAAGAGGTGAAAGGTCAAGATGAACCGCTCAAAACGCGGGGAGGGACCTTCACCGCTGACCGCCGTGACCCTCACTGCCCCACCACGACCTGAAATGGACCCATAACATTGTTTACTTGTAGTGTGTGAGAGATACAAGAACGACGGAAAACAAGATCGTTTTTGAACGCACCCCAACATTCCAGTCAGGATCTGATGCCGTGAAGCCGAAGAAACGTTCAGTGTCCCGGTTCGTAATGGATACGTCGCCCCGTGCAAGTGATTTTTGCGAGCGACCCGTGAGAATCAAGTATTCAGCATTACGAGATGATCAAACATACAAGCGTGGGTTTTGTGCTACCTAGTGAAAGGTTGTTGGGAGGAGAACAGAGTGAAAATCGTCTTCATTAATCGTCTTCAACCTCAACACTACGGCGGCCAGTCTGAACCACAGTGGGATTGTAGGTAACGAGCCAAACGAGTCTGTCTGACAGGTCTTTATGAAGTTCTGTGCTTTTCATTACTGGGAATGAAAAACCAAGATGCTTTTCTTTTACAGCTGCTATATTGGCTATTATATTTAAATGTACTAAGCAACTCCTAATAGTTTGAAAATTTAATAATGTGACTTGATCAACTTTTTTTAACTTCGCAACCAAGCATTACTGTTCAAACTTGCCATTCTCTGTATGCTCACATTTCGTCCAACGTGATATAAGTGTCTACTGCTGTTCATCCTCGTCAGATTGGCCCTGAAATCATACATTAAACATCTCCAATTGTTTATCCGCATCTGACGGCTAAAGGATAAATCCCACAATGAAATGCCCAGGTCATATCTCATCCCAAAATAAAATATGTATTTGGTGTAATAAAAATGAAGCCCATTTTCAGACCATCATTACTTGCATTTTTCATTACAGTGAAGCATATTTTACCCCCAACTTCTTATTTGAGAAAATATTGTTCCCAGTACTGAACCATATATGCCAAATTGTCATGAAAACCAAGTGAAAATGCGTAAAAAATATTGGTCCAAAAAGCAAGCTTCATTATGCTAAATATTTTTTCCTTTTAAAGGGGCAGTTCACCCAAAGATGAAAATTCTGTCATGAATTACTCACCCTCATGTCGTTTCAAACCCGTAAGACCTTCGTTCATCTTCAGAACACAAATTAAGATATTTGTGATGGAATCTGAAAGCTGTCTGACCCTGCATAGACAGCAACTGAAATGTTCCCAAGTTCAGAGACGTAGCAACATCAGTGGTTCATCCGCAATTATACGAAGCTGCGAGAATACTTTGTGCGCAAAAGAAAAAAAAAACGACTTCATTCAACAATTGGTCTCCTCTGCATCACCATGTAGCGCCATTTTGGAGAATATCCTCTGGACGTAAACAGCGTATGCTGTTCTGTGTCAGCTGCGTCACGCCGGATCTGTTTCCTACGTTGTTGTGATTTGATCTGAACGGAAACAGCGTATCAGCGTGACGCAGCTGACACAGAACAGCATACGCCGTTTACGTCCAGCGGATATTCTCCAAAATGGCGCTACACAGTGATGCAGAGGAGACGAATTGTTGAATGAAGTAGTTTTTTTTTTTTTTTTTTCGCATAAAAAGTATTCTCGTTGGTTTGTATAATTGCGGATGAACCACTGATGTCACATGGACTGTTTTACCGATGTCCTTGCTACGTCTCTGGACCTGGGAACATTTCAGTTGCGTTGCTGTCTATGCAGGGTCAGACAGCTCTCAGATTCCATTAAAAATATCTTAATTTGTGTTCTGAAGATGAAGGAAGGTCTTACGGGTTTGAAACGACATGAGGGTGAGTAATTCATGACAGAATTTTCATTTTTGGGTGAACTAACCCTTCAATATTGGGTGAAATATGACCCAGACCTTTTTTGTGAGACTAAAATCTACATGTAAATATAAACCCAACTAAACCGTTATTGGAGATGCCAAATGATTCGGATTCGGGCACGACTGCACAGTTTCTTATTGGCTCTGAAAAAGCGATGATGAAATGTGACTGTTAGAGATCATAAGAATGGAAACTCTAGTTTTTTTGTGATTGCTGCTGTTGGTCCTTTGCTTTTTTTTTGTTTGTTTTGGAAATACATGGCACAGTTTTGCACAAATGTGACGCTTGTGGTAACCATTGCTGTAACCCATTCTGTTAAACTGCATACACTAACCTACCAGCTGCACTACATCTGTTGTTTCTTAAATTTACTTTTGAATTACATATTCGCATGTCATTTCTTTTCCAAAACAAGGCCGAAGTGTTGTCTTTTAACTGATTGGTGAAATTCTGTCCTTTCGCTTTGTTTCCATGGTGACCGGCATTACCGCCTCCCCCCGCTGATTGATTGACAGTAAATGAGCCGGTGTGGGCGGAGCCTCTGTGTTCTCATTAGCAGTTGATGTTCCTCTGTTAATCAGTGAAGAAAATATGTATTGATCTAATTATTTTTTTTTTATTTATACTAGTGCTAGAGTTGTACAATATGGAGAATTTTATGTATGATTAATGGTTTGATGGTTTGAAATATGTAAAGATTAAATAGTTTTAAATGAAGTGTAGATCCTGTGTTTGCACTGTCTTGCTCTCTGACTGTGAACCATGAAGCACAGCCCTCGAGACGCTGCACTGGAATACAGTGTGTATTCCAGTCGGCAGTATGAAGTCCATTAGCTTCAGCTTTCATTAAATGAGGTGTCACAAGAAGATCGGCTTGCTGCTGTAATGTTTTTACAGGAGTAGAGAGTTTGTCCGGATGCAGACGGGGAGTGTTTCGGAAACCGGTTCGAAAGGGTCGGTGACGACAGTGGCAAAGAGATGACTTCAATTATAAGGTAATGTTAAAAAGTGTCTTGGTGACTAATAACTGCTTTAATCAGAGCTATATAAAAGTTGTTCTAGTTCCTGAACAAACACATGCACTCTAGTATTTTTACAGCTCTTATTAGTAGTAAACATACTAGCAGTATATGAAGGCAAACACCACGGGTGAATATGGTTAAAAAAAAAAAATAATAGATATTACCATATTTCATATTACCATAAAATAATAGATATTACCATTATTTATATATATATATATATATATAGAGCGAGAGAGAGTTTTATTACAAGTTGTCTGAAAAATGTAGCATTATTTAGTTAAATTTGCATGCATTTCCATAAAAGAAATTTGAACATTGGAAACAACCGTTTTTTGTTTCGAGTTTTTGCAGAGGGGATTTTAGATTTGATCACTACATGAATCAGAAGATGCTTAAAATTATTTGCAATGTTTTTAGAAAATAAAATGTGTATGAAATCAGGCAAATGATAAATGAACATGACCCTCTGTAAAAACCTTTAGAATATGCGAATAAAGCTTAAGTTTGGTGTATGTAAGTGCTGCTAAAGTGGATGTAATAATGTAATGTAATAAGAGTAATGTCTTAATATAAAAAGCATAAACATGCTTATTTTTGTGATCGATAAATATTACTAGTAGTACTGGTTTAAAAAAAATATAAAAAATACTACACGACTTCATTTGCTTGTTTAGGGCAACTATGTGGTCTCTAACCTGTATAGGTTTTCTTATGGACATAAAAAGTGTTAAAAACAATAATGGTCTACTTAAGCGACAGCTAATTTCACACAGTGTAATATAAGCTGAATCGTCTCTAAATGTGTGATTTATGAATTTGTAGAGCAGTGACAGGTTGTCCCACACTGGGAGCAAGTGTATGGTTTCTCAGTGTGGTTGCACAGGTCATTAGCATCAGCGCCAGACTTTCCTGCCTGAGGACAGACTGTCTCGATTCACACACACACACACATCCAAAATTTGTATATTGTGAGACGAACTGGCCAAGGGTTCAGGAGGTGGAAAGCCTTGTGTGATGAGAGACTAAACGTATCATTTTGAAACGGACTTCTCTTCTGCTTGCTTGCTGTTGAATTTTAAGATCAGCACATTTTTCATTCTCCTTACAGAGGCAAATTAATACGGATCCCAGCTTCTTGTCTTGAATATGAATGAGCAAATAATTTGAGTTTTAACTACTTGATGTCAAATTGAATGGTAAACTTTTTTAAAGCTTTTTAAAAGATTCAAATGTAAGCATAAAATGGTTTATTCATCTTTACTTACATTTGGTGTCTGGTTTCCAGGAAATGCAAAATTGCTCATTTTCATAAGCCAAAAGCGAAAGCTCTCTCTACCTATTAAAGCAAATTCACATTTATTTGTAAGCTATAATGTACTTTATAAATTAAATGAAAGATGCTTTACAGTATTTAGTCAAAATTTGAGAGGTGTTAATTGGAATTATTTTACAAAACAATACATCTCCCTAATATTCATTTTAAATGTAACTCTGGTAATCAGCTTTTTTTTCCTGGGTGGATCTATGTGAAGTTTTAAGCAGTTCACGAGTTTCATTTTTTCACCGTCTGGCTGCTCAAAGGGACATTTCCAGTGTGTATTTGTGGCCGTTCCCAGAGGAAACCTCTCATTTGAATGGGTTTTCAGAATAGCTTTCAGCCTCTTTTCATCTGCAAATATTTTGCTCTCTGAGCATGTAAATGGAGCATCGCAGTGTTTGTGCAGGTGGAGCTGCAGATGCTCTGACACCACATGCAACAGTACTGTCTTTCTAATGTTTGTTGTTTTAAAGGACTTTATAGTCTGTCAGTCCATATAAACATCAGAATGTTGAGTTTGGCAGGCTTCGCAGTTACCTGTTTGAAACCTGTATTGAATTTAAAGATTACAAAAATGCCCACACTTGTTCAAAATCCAAATTTTGGGCAGTTTCTTATGAATCATAAGAAAACTACCTTACTGAAGGCATGAGTATGGTTTCTCTCCGGATGGCATGTTCATGGCTCTTGAGGTTTCCAGCTGTAGTGAAAACGTTGCTACACTGATTCTACAGATACAGTACCTGATCTTATCGTGAATGGATGCACATTAAGTCCAAAGAAAATCTCGTCTGCGTAACCACCGATCTGCTTCGAGGAGCAACTATCACAAGCAAAGTACATGTGTTTTCTACATAATTTTCCTGAGACAATAATTAGTAATTAAATACGTCACTTACACCCCAGACAGCACAGGTACGTCTGCAAGATGTCTGTTAAAGATCTCTTCATCTGGAAAGCATCTGCTGTGTACAAACATCTGATAGACGTCTTTAAGATGTCAGTTTTACGCGCATTCTAAATCATAAACATCTTAAAGACATCTTCTAAACGTCTATTTGACATCTGATAGGAAACGTCCTGTAGACGTATCGCAAATGAGCAAACACTCTAAAACTACATCTTGCAGATGTAATGCAGGCATCAAATAGATGTCTCCATGATGTATGTCTGCTATCAGGGACGGTTTTCTACGATTTCAAATATAATCAGTGGTGAGGTAAACGTGCATCTCAGAAAAAGTCGCACCATTAATGGTATTTTGGGGTTGATATTTATACATATATAATGAAATTACTTTTATGAATGCGTATTATCCCTGCTCTATTGCTACACTGATTCTACAGATACAGTACCTGATCTTATCGTGAATGGATGCACATTAAGTCCAAAGAAAATCTCGTCTGCGTAACCACCGATCTGCTTCGAGGAGCAACTATCACAAGCAAAGTACATGTGTTTTCTACATAATTTTCCTGAGACAATAATTAGTAATTAAATACGTCACTTACACCCCAGACAGCACAGGTACGTCTGCAAGATGTCTGTTAAAGATCTCTTCATCTGGAAAGCATCTGCTGTGTACAAACATCTGATAGACGTCTTTAAGATGTCAGTTTTACGCGCATTCTAAATCATAAACATCTTAAAGACATCTTCTAAACGTCTATTTGACATCTGATAGGAAACGTCCTGTAGACGTATCGCAAATGAGCAAACACTCTAAAACTACATCTTGCAGATGTAATGCAGGCATCAAATAGATGTCTCCATGATGTATGTCTGCTATCAGGGACGGTTTTCTACGATTTCAAATATAATCAGGGGTGAGGTAAATGTGCATCATCTCAGAAAAAGTCGCACCATTAATGGTATTTTGGGGTTGATATTTATACATATATAATGAAATTACTTTTATGAATGCGTATTATCCCTGCTCTATACTGACTAACAAGTTACACGGAATTATTCCACTTAAATTACAATCTTTCTAATGAGATTTTATTCCCTTAATTTCATGATTGCAGTGTTACTAGGGTAAAGGGTTAGTTCACCCAAAAATGAAAATTAACCCACAAATTACTCACCCTCAAGTCATCCTAGGTGTATATGACTTTCTTCTTTCAGACGAATCCAGTCGGAGTTATATTAAAAATTGTCTTTGATCTTTCAAGCTGTTTCATGGCACTCAGCGGGTGTTGCATGCTTCAGTCCAAAAGAAGTGAAATAAAAACCACCCATCCATAAAAAAAAAAGTGTCTCACACGGCTCCGGGAGGTGAACAAAGGCCTCCTGTAGCGAATCGATGCGTTTTTGTAAAAAAAATATCCATATTCAAAACGTAATAATCACTTTAATGTAGCTTGCGCCAACAGTTGTACACAGAAGCAGTTCCGGGCGGATGACGTATGAGGTTGGCGTTGCGCATGTGCCGGTGAGTCTCGAGAAAACCAACGTTTGTTTACAGGAGCAAAGGAAGCAAAGTTTCCTTACTTTAGCAAAGGAAAACCAGTCTCCTCTCGGCTTATATCGAAATCCTCCGACATTCTTCTTTACAAATCCTCATTTTGTACTTCTAATAAGTGACCGGTGTTTTGTTTTGATCTCTCCGCTGCGCTTCCTCGTTCGTCACTTCTGAGCAGCGCTGACCTCCATACGTCATCCGCCCGGAGCTGCTTCCGTGTACAACAGTGAGCGCAAGCTACATTAAAGTGATGTTTTGAATATGGATATTTTTTTTACAAAAACGCATCGATTCGCTACAGAAGGCCTTTGTTCACCTCCCGGAGCCGTGTGAGAGACGGGGGTTTTTTATTTAACATCTTTTGGACTGAAGCATGCAACACCCGCTGAGTGCCATGAAACCGCTTGAAAGATCAAAGACCATGTTTTATATAACTCCGACTGGATTCGTCTGAAAGAAGAAAGTCATATACACCTAGGATGACTTGAGGGTGAGTAATTTGTGGTCTAATTTTCATTTTTGGGTGAACTAACCCTTTAAGTCTAATCAAACATTTTTACTTCAATAAAATATATTTTAAGAAATCTACTTATCTTTTAATGTTAAAAAATGGATACCTGTTTGGAGCAACATTAAGTAAATAATTGTAAATTTTTCATTTTGCAGACATTGGAGGACACATACACAAATCAATAAGCACTTTCCCACACAAACTCGACCAAGGCCGAGTTCAATCATGCATTCAGCTCAGTACTTACTAATGCGCTTCAAATATCTGAATAGAAACATTGCATGGTTTTATTCAAGCATTTCGACGCTTGCATATCTAACACACCATTTCAGCAGGGCTGGTGTGAACTGGAAACAACTTATTTGAACACTAACTTTAAAATCTGCTTAGTATAATTCCAAAGTTTGAGTTGAAAAGACTAAGAAAAACACTAGATGTTGCTCTTCAAACAACATAAAATGATCTGCAAACGATCAGGCATCATGATGATACAAAGGCTTATCAAAAGATCCGAGTGAATGAAGACGAACACAGAGAATTAATTTTTCATTTTGCAGACATTGGAGGACACATACACAAATCAATAAGCACTTTCCCACACAAACTCGACCAAGGCCGAGTTCAATCATGCATTCAGCTCAGTACTTACTAATGCGCTTCAAATATCTGAATAGAAACATTGCATGGTGTTTTATTCAAGCATTTCGACGCTTGCATATCTAACACACCATTTCAGCAGGGCTGGTGTGAACTGGAAACAACTTATTTGAACACTAACTTTAAAATCTGCTTAGTATAATTCCAAAGTTTGAGTTGAAAAGACTAAGAAAAACACTAGATGTTGCTCTTCAAACAACATAAAATGATCTGCAAACGATCAGGCATCATGATGATACAAAGGCTTATCAAAAGATCCGAGTGAATGAAGACGAACACAGAGAATCATGGGTACACAGCAGCTTTATTTCACTACTTAGCCATCGCTTCCTCTGACAATCCTGACTAGGAACATTTATAATGACTAGTGCTTAACCCGTTTAGCTAGCTATCAGCAGTGCTGAGAGGTTACTCTGGATTTACAGCCCCAAAAAAGCAAGATCAACATTGAAGAATTCTAACTCGTTAGCACTGAAACTAAAAGGTGAGCCTTTTTAAGAAGCAAAACTGTGTTTCTAGGACATCAGAAGAGATCAAACATTTTAATTGGGGCTCCGTTATAAAGAGCTCTCTGTTGGATCCTCCAAAAAAACAAAGAAAGAAAAACCTAGCTGTGCATTTGAACTCAAAACTAATACTTACTGTAGTACTACTAGTAAAGTAATAATACCATCATTACAGTAACAGTATAAAGACTCCAGTGGAAACAACGAAAAGAAAAAAAAAAGCCTCAATCTCAAACTGAAATTTCTACAATGTTATTCAAAGTATCAATGCCGTGTTTACGTGACACAAATGATAAATAACACATAGCAGACAAGATCGCACAAACAAAAGTTGTCTCCGAGTGCAGCATTGAAAACAGATCGACATGCATTCTTCATGCATTATAAGAGGGAGCGAGGTCTTGGGAATTACTGTGCACGTCACTGAAATATTTTCAAAAATGTTGGATTTCTATTGAATGAAAAATGCACTTCAGCCTCTAAAACGGTGTGAGTTTTACTTTCAGCCAAATGTATTAATCAGTCGTTCGTTCTCATTCATTCGTGAAATGAATAATCTGTAACTACATCCAACAGAACTACTTTCTGTCTGCCGATGAAGACGTGAGATGTGAGCTTGGTGTCCCTCAGTAGACCTAGTTTCTGTTAACTACGGGAAAAACATCATGGGCAAACCTGAATTTTCTAAATAAATAGAGAACATCACCCCAAAATACATTCAGCATGAGTATTCATTGTCATGAGAAAAATTACTTACACGGGTCAATCTCACAAAGAAATTACAAGGTTATATTTGACCATTAAAAAAAAAAGTCAAGAAAATTAACCATTTTTAGGACTATTAATAATTTTTGTGGATTGTGTCTATCATTTTAAGCAAAATTTGCCTCCAAATTCACATTACTGTTATGTAAATAAAAAAAAAATCAATCTCATTAATGCAAATATATTTACATTATTTTTGCAAAACAGTACTAACAATAATTCTGTTCAGACTGTTTTAATTGAAATCAACCTAAATTAAATTCAGCTGTCACAAATAAAACCATGAAGTATAACTAAATGAATACTGAATACTTAAAATAAACATTTAATTGTACAGTAATGATACCATTTCATGAATTAGAATAGATTCTATAAATGGAGGGTTAATTGTCACGAAAATGTCAATGCAACGCAGAAACTATGAAAAATGGGCTTTATTTGCTTTATGCAAAATATTATTTCTGTTTTCGTTTTATTTTAAGGTAAAATACAACCCAGAAATGTTGAGTTTTGAGAGATTCACCCAAACACAAATAAAGTGAAGAAAAACAAATCTTGACCTTTTCGTTCCCCAAGAAAATGCATAGCGAGGTCATTAATCTTCGTTGAGGATATTACACATGGCTTTCATAAATGACTTGGGTTTGTGCAGCACCACCTCCTTGTACAGACTCCACCTTGTTTTCCTTCTCCTCAGACTCCTCCTCCAGAGGCAGCTGAGCCAATGGGGGTGGAGAGGAGACTATTTCGGAAAGAGGTGGAGCTTCTATGTTACAGCATCCTGCTGCAGCTAACTGTGGATGAACCGAAACCTGAATGGCTATGTGCTGAGGCTGCTCGTGAAGCGACGCGTCGTCCGAGTCCACGGCAGGAGAATCGCTGCGTTCCCTCTCCCTCGCCCGCTCTCTTTCGCGCAAGATAGTGAAAACGTCGCTGGAAGTGCCGACAGCCGCCCCGTCATGACTCTCGGGTGCTTGCCGGACAAAAGTGTGTCTCATTTCCTCCACGCCGACGACCTCGAGAATCTCCTCCATGAAGGTGCGGCAGTTCATGATCAGCGGCGGGAGCGGTATGCTACGCGCCAACTCCTCGATGTAGCGCGCGAACTCCATGGTCTTGAACTGCGTGACCTTCGCCAGCTCCAGCGTTTTTGCCGAGGTAATGATAGGAATACGCTTCGCGATCTCAAAGGCCTTTTGGAGCTTTTCCGCGCCTTCCGTGCGGAAGAAGTCGTTGATGGCCTTCTCGGTTTTCTTCAGATGGCTGCTCATCATGCAAAGGCGAGTGATGTTCAGAATCATGATGATGGTAAACGTCACCAGACACACCACCATGTAGTACACACCCATATCTCCATTTGTGAAGACCACGCGCAGCGTCACCGTGCAGTTGGCCTTGCCGTACGCGTTGGAGGCCACGCATGTATATTTGCCGCGGTCTGCGAACGTGATGCTGGTGATGTTGAGGATGCCACTGTCCAGAATCCACCATTTACCATCTGCAGAAAAAGAGAGAGAAAAATCACTGAAGACTGACGGTTTGATTTGTTCATTAAAAACAGACTGAGTGGATTTGAATGAAATCTAAAAACATATACAACAAATTTATGTTAATAAAAATTCATAAAAACCTTTGACTTGTGACAAAGACTATTCAATTTTTCAATATATTCTGGCCAAGAATTGTCTTAAGAGTATTTAAGAGTTAAATGCACACGAATATCACCGCAAAGTTTAATTACGACTGGTACATTTTATTTTTCGGTAATTACCCAAATTTACGAGTTGGGAACGTGTCGGTGAGAAAATATAGCGAAAGACATGGATAAAGCATCTGTATAAATGGTCAATTTGTTCAAATTAATAAAAAATATATATATATTTTGCAATAAAACCATCTAAGTTGCATGTACAAAATACCATAGTACTGTATAATAATGACGATTGTAAAATATAAAATTAAATTTACAGCAGTAATACGAAAAAAAGCAAAAACACGTCCAATGCTTCATTTAGTAGATGTCAAGTGGAAAAATCTTGTTGAATTTTATGTCAACATAAACCTGAAGTGATCTGAACGCACTTGAGGTTGTAATTACGATTTCCCGAGGAGGACGCACCATTAGATGTGAAGACACAGTTTGATAGACACATAAGTGGCCAACCACTGATGGTTTTGTTTTACTTGCAATTAGGGACGTTTATATGAAATAATTGATTCAGCCATAAAGCAGCATAAAATAAATTGTCAAATAACAATAGTAGTGTCTATCTGTGACTGGCTGTGCAAAAACACCTGAAGAAATGAGTGTAGACTTTGTAATTAATTTCTGATCATCCAAAAGCAATAAGCACTAAAACTGTGGCGCTGCTCTGCTTGCGACCCGGGCTCGTGCTCCACTACATCAGTCTGTTCATACTTTTTCTGTTTTTATTTATTTTATTATTTTATCTTATTGTGACGAATCCGACGCTCATATGGCGATGATCGTCCAATTTGCCTGTCTAGTAACAGTCATATGGGGATACTTGGCGCAGTGCACGGTATATGCAGGTGTGGAAGCATGGATGCCTATTAGCTATACCCGAGATACTTTGCTCGCGCTTCGCCATATGGGATTATCTCCACCGAACCTACCTGCCTGCGTGAGGGTGCAACCTGAGCGAAATAGAAGGCAAAGGAACATAGGCCGGTGGGTCGGAATACGGCAGCGGATTGTGTTCATCAACAACTACAAGGCTCACCAGACGCTCCTGTATTTATTTTAGGTGATTTTAATCATTGCAAGCTGGAACGGTCCTTGCCTGGGTTTGAACAATACATAAAATGTGGAACACGTAAAGACAGAATCCTAGATAAGTGCTATGGAAATGTAAAAAAAGCTTATGAGGCCAGATCGAAACCACCGCTAGCCAACTCTGACCATTATACCATCCATTTAATCCCTACATATAGGACTATGCTTAAACGTAGTAAACCATATGTGCAGGAAGTAATGATATGGTCGGATGATGCCATAGAAAGACTTAAAGGATGTTTCCTTTGCACAGATTGGGATGTTTTTAATGATGTGGACATTGATACAATGACAGAGACAACAGACTATATAAATTGTGTGGACAGTGTACTCACTAAAAAGAATATCCTAAAAACAAACCATGTATAACAAAAGAACTTAAGAATTGTATAAACAGGAAAAAGGTTGCGTTTAAGAACAAAGATAATGCGGGGCTGAAGATCATACAAAGAGAGCTTAACTATCAACTAAAGGAAGCTAGGGGACGACAGAAGGATATTACTGAACATCAGTTTTTAACTTCAAATTCAAAATAATTATGGAGTACAATGAAGGCTGTTATTAATATGGATTCAAGGAGATCACAGATAGATACAATTGATGATTTACAGAAAGCTAATGAACTGAACGACTTCTATTTCCGGTTCCAAACTCATGATTTCTCTGACAAATGTGAATCTGTTTTAGGTTCTTTGATATATGATATGGGCTCTAGATTAGAGGTAGACCAGTCTAAGGTGCCTTCATTGTTCCAACAGTTATGTATAAATAAATCTACAGGACCCGATGGGATTTCTGCACGACTTTTAAAAACTTGTGCTGCAGAACTCACTCCGGTGTGGGGTACGCTCTTTCAGCATTCACTGGACTCGCAGAGAGTTCCTGCACTTTGGAAAAGATCAGTGATTACACCAATCCCAAAAAAGTCACATCCTTCTGAGAACAATGATTTTAGTCCCATAGTATTAACTTCAATTGTAATGAAATGCTTCGAGAAATATATTGTGTCCATTTTGAAAAGTGAAGTATCCTCAAAACTAGATCCATGGCAGTTTGCTTATAAACAGGGCAGAAGTGCAGAAGATGCAGTTGGAAGTATTATCCATTTAGTCTCTAAACATCTGGAGGACCCAAAGGCATATACACACGTCCTCTTTTTATTGATTTTAGCTCAGCTTTTAACACTGTGCAACCTTATTTGTTATTAGAGAAATTGAAACAAATGGATGTAAATCCTAATATTATAAGATGTTTTTTTACTTTCTTAACGGGTAGAACCCAACAGGTTAAGGTCAATAAGACGATCTCTGACTTACAGTATATTAGTACAGGAGTACCTCAAGGATGTGTGAGTTCCTCAGTTCTCTTCACATTATATACAGATGGTTGCGTGAGCAAATATGATAACCACATTGTGAAATTTAGTGATGACACCGCTATTCTTAGTTTATTATATAAAGATCAAGACATATTTTCTTACTGCTCTGAAATCAAGCAATTTACTGAGTGGTGTGATGCTCACCACCTAATTGTGAATGTGAAGAAAACTGAGGAGATGATATTCGATCCGAAGTTAATTGGCGACCATAGCCCTGTTTATATTCATAATGTTCCAATCGCACAGGTGTCCTCATATAAATATCTTGGTGTTTTTCTTGACTGCTCTCTTACATGGCATGTTCACGTTGAAAGCTTATGTACCAGGCTACAACAAAGAATGTATTTTTTGAGAAGGCTCAGATTTTATGGTGTCAGTAGCAAGATTATGATGTTGTTTTACCAAGCTGTACTAGAGAATGTGATCAGATACAGTATACACCTTTGGTATGGTAATCTGACGGTACAGCTGAAATCAAGGCTTGGACGTCTTATTCAAACAGCTATGAAAATCTTGGGCAGGATAGAACCTCTCTATCTCCAGACTCTTTATGAAAAGTCTATGCTGAGGGAGGCAGATAAGATTCTGCATGATATAACACACATTTTGAACTGTGAGTTTGTGATGCTGCCATCAGGTTAAGATTAAGAATTCCAAGATGTAGATTGAATCGGTACAAGAATTCATTTATTCCTTCTGCAATTAAGTTATTAAATAACACTAGGTAAGGTTATTTATTTATTGATTGTTTATTTATTTTATTGTTTAAATGGTATGTTTTACTGTGTTGTGTATTTATGCATGTATATATATATATATACACATATAATAATAAAAAAAAAAAAATTCTTTCTTTACTACTATGTGTTGTATGTGATGTGGTGGTTGTATTTCTGAGCCTAAGACAAATTTCCCTCAGGGACAATAAAGTGTACCTAACCTAAAACAACAAAGCGAAACCTGCAGTTCTGCTCATGGAAATCTAGTTTTTTCTTCCTAGTATCTTCGAAGATCTGAGATCTAGATCTGACGCCAGTAACCTGACAAATGATTAAATCCAGCGATTAACCCATCTGCAAAACTGCTGAAAATAGCAACCCACTAACTTGTAAACAGTTTCATAAAAGTCAATCAATCACATTAGAGCGTGCCATATTACAATCAAGATGCCAGAACAAATGCTTCCCATTTTTTTTAGGTCATAATGCTAGAAAGTCATCTTGACATTACAACAAAATAAGAAAACTAAATGTTCACACTGGATAAGCTGATAGAGGAGGTCACAAGCAAAGTGAAACTGTGATAAAAGGTAAAAATCTAGGTGTGAAAATCAGGTTTTGCATAAACAATTATGATCTTTCCACCAAATAAAGAACATCGTTGAAGACAACATGACTAAACATGTTTCCAAACTAACTGGTGTTGCACCCTTTTTGTAAACCTAGTTCGTCAAGCTGAAAGTACAAAACTTAGTTCCGTGAACAACGTGGCCATGATTAATCGACTTTGCATAACCCACAGACATGCATTTACATAAAGACACTGATCTTAAAACGTCCACCTTGTCCAGAGGACGCACATACATTACGCACAAGCCACCTGTGCTTTAAGTGCTGATGGGAATTTATAAACTCAATTTTTGGCACCAGTCCACCAATGCATTACTTACTGCCAGCAACCCGAGGTCATTTAATCAGACCGTTGTGAAACAATTCAGCAATGCATTATGTAAGTAAAGTAAAATTATTTGATCTTTAACTACTGACTATTTGTGCAAAGTCAATAATATGAAATTAAAATGGACTATTTACTTTCATAATGCGAAATCCTGGTCTTATTTTGAATGAACAACATGCAATGACGAATCGAATTAGCTTTTCTTTTCAGCTGATGTAATCTAGGCCCAAGCTTATTTTTAAGAGTGCTGGTAGTCTTTCAGGAAGTAGTCAGTCGACCTCAACAGACTAAAGATAGTTCAAATGAAGTTCCACTTCTTAAATATCCTGCTTCACTGAAATATGACTGTAAAATGGGTTGCAATTTGCAAATGTTATTTAAAGGGGTCATATGATGCTGCTAAAAAGAACATTATGTTGTGTATTTGGTGTAATGAAATGTGTTTATGTGGTTTAAAGTAAAAAAAACACATTATTTTCCACATACTGTACATTATGGTTTCTCCTCTATGCCCCGCCTTTCTGTGCTGTGATTGGCCAGCTTATCCAGTGTGTTGTGATTGGCCGAATACCTCAAGCGTGTGACGGAAATGTTACGCCCCTCACCATACTGTGATGCCGTGTCAGGCCGGAGCGACGAGACAAAAACATTAAAACTCATTATAAACGAGGCATTTGTTGCATCCAGTGGGGACATAATTACTGATCATAATGACTTATACTGTCTTTTTACACGTTGCATCGCGCCGCGTAAACATAAAACCATGTCTGCATTTGTGATCGGAGAAATGACAAACAACAAGTGCTACTCTGCACTGCCCAAAACTCTCGTTTGAATCATCAGTGGCAAATCCTTTAACGTTAAATGAAAACGTACTTACAGTCTGTGAGTCAGAACAGCCGGCATTGTAGTCTACTCTCCCAGGATCAGGAAAGAGACCTCCATAAAATGTGCTGCACACATCTGAATATTTGGGTTGAACTGTTCTGGAACAGTGTCGTAAATACAACTGATTTGTAGTCGTGTCCTCTTTTGGAAGACCAAACAAAGTAGTTTCGCTTTCACAACGAAAAACACAGCGGCCTAGCGTGCGCTGAGGCCGGGATAGAGTGAGCAGAGGCGGCGGGGTCGAGAACGGCGCGCCCGGAGGATCCGACGAAAGAGCGGCAACCACATGTGACACGAAAATGTCACATGTGAGGTGAAAGTCGATCCGGCGATCCACAGCACTAAGTTGATGTATTTCCTCAGCGACCAGCACGGATCAGCTCCAGGCATGACGAAGCGGATATCGTCCTCTTTTGGAAGACCAAACAAAGTAGTTTCGCTTTCACAACCAAGCACACAGCGTCTTCAGGACATGGCGGCAGCAACAATACTACAGCGAGAATAAAAGTTACGCCTTCTTTCTTTGCGTGAACATTTGGGCAGCGTTATGCAAATCTTCCCACATAGTGATGTAGACATGTGGGGGCGTGTTAGAACGAGCCATTTTAGGTAGGCGTGGTTGACTCTTAACTTTCATAAAGAATATCTCTTTGGATTTGAGACTTTAGTCTTTGCAACTTTACAGATCTTCTTTATGCACCAAGAGCTTGTAACACTCCAAAGAGAAAGGAAAAATTTAAATCGCATCATATGACCCCTTTAATGTTTATGTCAAAGCTGACAGCAATGGATGCTCTGCAGTGAATGGGTGCCGTCAGAATGAGAGACCGAACAACTGATAAAAACATCACAATAATCCACACCACTCCAGTCCATCAGTTAATGTCTTGAGAAGAAAAGTTGCGTGTTTATAAGAAACAAATCCATCCAGGTATTTTAACTTCAAAACTTTCAGCTAAAATACAAGTACACAATCCAAAATAACACTTCCTCAAGTGAAAAAGTCTATCTCGAAAGTTTTCTTTCATCAAAATTCACTAACATATTTTTCACTTGTAAACAGTGCTTGATCTGTGCATATTTCGCTCCTGATTCAGACAAGATGACTTTTTAACTGGATATAGCAATATTACGGACTAGTATTTTAGCCAAAAACAATGGTTTGAATTTAAAAACTCCTTAAAGATGGACTTATTTCTTACAAAAACACAGCTTTTCGCTTCACAATACATTAACTGGTGGACTGGAGTGGTGTGGATTATTGTGATGTTTTTATCAGCTGTTTGGACTCTCATTCTGACGGCACCCATTCACTGCAGAGCATCCATTGGTGAGCAAGTGATGAAATGCTACATTTCTCCAAATCTGATGAAGAAACAAACTCATCGACATCTTGGATGATCTGAGGGGGTGTGTACATTTTCAGCAAATATTCATTTTTGGGTGAACTATTCCTTCAATATACATTCAAGCCTGCAGTGTCTTTCTGTTCATAAATGCTGTGCAAGATGAAACCCTTCAAATGGTCTTTAGTTCACACTAATTCTTCACACCGTAACACACCCAGTCCAATTCACTACCCAGGCTCAACTGAATAGCAGGAATGTTTCTGTGTCACTTCAGTAAAAACATTGTAAGTATTTTTTCATTAACTAAGCATACACAACACCATCAGTAATCCTCCAAAAGTCACTCATCAGGAGCTCCGAGTCTACAACACTCCAGCTGGGAGTCACGTTTTACATCACCAGATTTAAAGATCAAATGGCTGCATATTGGATTAATCTCAAAACAGTGGATGTAATAAAATCAATCATGGAAAATATCCACAGTGGCCATTCCCAAAACAAATGAAACATTAAGTGTTTATATATTTAAGAAAAAAAATCCTAAAAATCAGCAAAAAAAAAAAACCCATGGCATTTGTATCAGCATATTAGAATGATTTCTGAAAGATCATGTGACACTGAAGACTGGAGTAATGATGCTGAAAATTCAGCTTTACATCACAGAAATAAATAGCATTTTAAAATACAGTCATGGCCGTGACATTAATTTTGTGTTTTGCAAAGTTTTCCGCTTAAGCTGTTGTGGTGTTCATTCACATTGCTTCTAGGTTGTTGTGTAGAGTGATCAGATGCATTTTAAATAATTGCTCAAATCTTCATTGCCCAAATAAATGAACAAAATTCACTGTTTTTTTGATCCTGACACAAAATGACCAGCTAACATTAATTGACTAATCATATCAGCAGCACATGTGAAAATGTGATTGAGTACTAGTCAGGTAAAATCACCATCAGACTAAATAGACTGTAAGAGCAGACTGATGGAGGGAAGAAGCGCTTCCAATCATTGTGTTCTTGTTAGCAATGGTTACCTCCAAAGAAACACGTGCAGCCATCATCGCTTCACATCAAAATGGCCTCACATGCAAGGAAATTGCTACAAAGAATATTGCACCTGAAAGAGCCATTTACCGGATCATAAAGAACTTCAAGGAGAGAGGTTCGACTGCAGTGAAGAAGTCTTCAGGACGTCCCAGAGTGTCCAGCAAGATCCAGGACCGTCTCCTCCTGAGGAGTTAGCTACGGATTTGTGTATCCAGCAGTGCAGAGCTTGCTCAGGAATGGCAGCAGGTTGGTGTGAGAGCATCTGCACGCACAGTGAGGCCAAGAATTTTGGACAATGGCCTGGTGTCAAGAAGGGCAGCAAAGAAGCCACTTCTCTCCAAGAAAAACGTCAAGGACAGACTGAAATTCTGCAGGAAGTACTAGGATTTATACATCAAAAGACTGGTGCAAAGTTATCTTCCCTGATGAAGCTCCCTTTCAACTGTTTGGGACATCTGGAAAATCGATTGTTCGGAGAAGAAAAGGTGAACGCTACCATGAGTCCTGTGTTGTGCCAACAGTGAAGCATCCTGAGACCATCCATGTGTGGGGTTGCTTTTCTCCAAGGGAGTGGGCGCTCTCATAATTCTCCCCAAAAACACTGCCATGAATAAAGAATGGTATCAAAACGTCCTGCAAGAGCGACTTCTTCCAACGATCCATGAGCAATTTGGTGATGATCCGTGCATTTTGGCACCACGTGACAAAGCAAGAGTGATAAAGAAGTGGCTCGAACATCATTACATTGATATTTTGGATCCGTGGCCAGGCAACTCCCCGGATCTCAATCCCATAGAGAACCTGTGGTCAGTCCTCAAAAGGCGAGTGGACAAGCAGAAGCCCACAAATTCTGATCAACTCTGAGAACTAATCACTATCAACGAGCAGAAGAATCAGGATTTGGCCCAGAAGCTAATATCCAGCATGCCAGAGCAAATTGCAAAGGTTATGAAGAACAAGGGTCAACACTGTAAATATTGACTCATTATATTTTTTTGCCAATAAAAGCCTTTAAAACGTATATGCTCATCATTGTTTTTCAGTATAACATAGAAACATGTGGGAAAATAATCTACAAATACTGAAGCAGCAAACTTTGCAAAACAATTTATGTCACTGCCAAAATTTTGGCCATGACTGTATATTAAATTGTAATATTATTTCACATTATTAGAGTTTTTTTCGGTATTTTATATCAAATAAATGCAGCCTTGGTGAGCAGAAGGGACTTTGTCGAAAAACATTAAAAACCAACCCCAAATTGTGAACGCCAATGTAAACCCTTGAAAATGGTTGTTATAATGAAATCCCGTGTTTTGTTATACATATTCACAAACCCAACAGGATGTCTTTACACTTGGTTGGAGCAACGACTAAACTGAACACTACCTGCCATACACGATTATAATGGACGCAAACTCAATTACATGACGTGCGTTAAGTACAGGAACAGTAGATCAGATTTATATTTAGTGTAAACGGATTACACCTACAGAATCAGATAAATGCATAAAGTGACCAAGTGTAGGTGCAGTGATATATGAGAATGCATTGGCGTCAGAAGGTGATTTTCACAGTGAACATACCACTTTTCTTAGCGTCAAGCAGGTGTCCGTGCGAGTTGAACCACTGGATGTTTGGAAAAGGGTCGCCGGTGATATTACAGTCAATTAAAGCACAGTTCCCCTCGCGGGCGATGATCTGGCTCACTTTGCTGAGCACCAGGGGAACCGAGCCGTCCCCATCAGCCTCGGTCCCGTTCTCTCTTCCGTCTCCATCCACCGCCGAGATGTTCAAAGCCTCTGCCGCACAGAAACTAATCACGGCCCCTAAATAAATGATCACGTATCCGATCGCCCCGTTCATTTTCTCTGGCTTTCTGCAACAACCCTCAGGATAAGATGTCATTCTCCACCGGTCCTCATGTTACGGTCACTGGCTCATGCTCCGTCCTCCTCTGAAAATACAATACAAAGAACAAATGAATGAAAATATCCTTGATTTCTTAAAATGACATAAGGGCTTTTAAAGGGGTCACATGATGCTTTTTTAAAGATCATCATTTAGTGTAACAGAATATGTTGACATGCTTTAATGTTCAAAAAACACATTATTTTTCAAATACTGTACATTATTGTAGGTCCTCTATGCCCCGCCTCTCTCAAACTTTTCGTTTTCTACAAAGTCCCTCCTTCCGACAAGCGCAGTCTGCTCTGATTGGCCAGCTGACCCAGTGCATTGTGATTGGCCGAACATCGCAAGCACTCGTCGGAAATGTAACGCCCCTTTCCATAATCGCGAGCTTCATCTTTCAAAATAAATGTAAAGACCGTAAATAAGCCTGAAAGGGGAACATTGTGAAGGGTGTCAAAGCTCTCAAGGCCTGGAAGTTATGTTATGTGCATATTACAGTTAACCGGAAATCTCTTTATTTACAGAGTTGGATGGATAAAGGAATTAATTTTTTATCTGACCTTTTCGATCAGTCTTATGAAAATTGTATGAATAAATGGGCACTTCACATTAAATATAGAGAATATTATTCTGTGGTAAACGCCATTCCCACAGGTTTATTGATGCTAATGAGAAGCCATATGCTGTCCCTTAACATCTGTAGAATTGAACCCCTTCTTCATTGAAATGGGGTGGACATTAACAGTAAAAAATGCACAAATAAATGTATTAGAAATCTATTTTATGAAAAGAGATCTATTAAGCGTAGAGCGAAATTTGTTTTCCGGAGATTATTTGGAAAAAAGCTTGGGTTCTTCCCTTTCGGTTTTGTATATCTAACAAACTTCGGGAAGTACATCTGAAAGTACTTCATAATATTTGTTAGTAACTACACTTTAGCTAGATGTATGGCTATTGATGAAAAATTTTCATTTTGTTCAGATCAGCCAGAGATAATTCTACATCTTTTTTCTTTTTTATGTTACCATTCCAAAAACTTCTGGGAAGATTTATCTATATATATATATTCAACAGAAATCTGGTTACAATTGTGAATTAACATCCAAAGATGTTATCTTATATTCTGAATCAAAAAATGCATCTGTCCATTTTATGATGAGTCTAATGATTTTATTTGGTAAATTTCAACATTTTTTATCTGACCTTTTCGATCAGTCTTATGAAAATTGTATGAATGGGCACTTCACATTAAATATAGAGAATATTATTCTGTTGTAAACGCCATTCCCACAGGTTTATTGATGCTAATGAGAAGCCATATGCTGTCCCTTAACATCTGTAGAATTGAACCCCTTCTTCATTGAAATGGGGTGGACATTAACAGTAAAAAATGCACAAATAAATGTATTAGAAATCTATTTTATGAAAAGAGATCTATTAAGCGTAGAGCGAAATTTGTTTTCCGGAGATTATTTGGAAAAAAGCTTGGGTTCTTCCCTTTCGGTTTTGTATATCTAACAAACTTCGGGAAGTACATCTGAAAGTACTTCATAATATTTGTTAGTAACTACACTTTAGCTAGATGTATGGCTATTGATGAAAAATGTTCATTTTGTTCAGATCAGCCAGAGATAATTCTACATCTTTTTTCTTTTTTATGTTACCATTCCAAAACCTTCTGGGAAGATTTATCTATATATATATATTCAACAGAAATCTGGTTACAATTGTGAATTAACATCCAAAGATGTTATCTTATATTCTGAATCAAAAAATGCATCTGTCCATTTTATGATGAGTCTAATGATTTTATTTGGTAAATTTCATATTCATAAAAGTAAAAGAAATAGTTCTAAACCCTGTTTGAAGGTCTTTATGACTGATTTCATTTGTATTTGGAGTCTCTCAAATGTACTGATAACAAAAAAATGTAGAGATACAATTGTATTCGCTAAAAGAGTTGAAGTTACTTAAGAATTGAACGGGTATATGCTTCCTCAAGTATTATTGATTTTTTTTTTCTCTATGTAATCTAAACCCATTCCTTTAATTGTGTTATCTTTTTGGATGTCTTGTTAAAGTTGTAAATGTCGCATGTTATGTCTTTAATGTCTAATAAAAAAATTTTTTAAGTAAATATGTTCATTTAGATGCATATAATATAAATGCATAATAAAAAATAACTAATTTTAAATACAACATTGAATTATTAAACACTCACATTTTTTTAACAATTACAATTTAAGTTTATTTTTATTAGCTAGTAAATAGTATTAGCAATTCTAGTTTTAAGCAGTGTATTAGTAGTCCGTAGGCTACACTCTAAGAAAAGTCTGTAAAAATAGGGCAAAATCTATTAATATGAAGGTATTTTCCGTAATCATTATTCACACGTTTTTTTACCTACATTTTAAATTACGCATTGTGTTTGGTGTTTTCGGGTTATAATGGATAATGGAAAATGTCCTGGAAAATGTCAATTTTTCTAGCTATTTTTCTTACCGTGCACTAACTGATCAACAAACTCAAGTACAAGCTACTAACAAGGTGTATCATAAATGAACAATTATTCAATTATTATTATTATTATTAAATTAAACAATTGCTAATAGCAGCCAACTTAATTCATGTGAATTGTGGACTGCTAGGCACCTTTGGTTTCATCTTTTTGTGTCATTTAGATGAAAAATGTGTGCCTTTTTTATCGTTTGAGTCACTTATCAAAAGTTGCTAAATGTTGCCAAATAAATAAATAAAAAATAGCTAAATTTGTTGCTAGGTGCTTTTGGAAGAAAAAGTTGCTAGGGTCGTCTGAAAAGTTGCTAAATCTAGCAACAAAATTGCTAAGTTGGCAACACTGTGAGTTATGACCCGATGATCTCTTGAGAAATTCACGGACCCCGAAATAATGTACTGTGAAATACGACAGACAGGATAAAGCGTTAAGTTTGGTCTTTAACCCCTCCTATCATCTCTGCCTGTCTGCTTTCTATTCACCCCCCCCCCCCCCCCCCTTTTGTTTTATTCACCCTACA